AACGTCTGAGAATGTACCAAATCCACGGCCTGATGCTGGGACTTATGACAACTACTATGGCAGACGACTCCGGACTAGGTGCGTTCTACATAGTCCCCCTGACAACAAGATCAAGTTGCGACAACGAGGTGAAGCCACTTCTAGGAAGAATTGCTTGTGTAAAATTTAACTCGGTAATCTGTTCATCTTGTTTAATTTGCATAAAATTTGGTAAAAGAATGGGAAGCATAAACTCAAGCCTCCAAATTTACTAAGTTGAATCAGATAAAGCATTTTTTCTAGATTTACACAATTATATTCGACAAATCATATAGTTTAGATATTTGTTTTGATTGAGGACCTCTGAGAAATACCCTTAAGGTAGTGGCTTATTCCATATAAGCTACTTAAATGGCAACATGAATTATTTATAAACAAAACCTTTACCAACCAAATAAAAATAGCTAATCTGTTTATTTTGGGTAAGAACTAAAATTTCATAGTTTCTGGGGGAAATTCAATAGTATACTAATGAGAAAAGGCAGTCGCTGTCAAGATAATCATTCATATATGAGATGTATTCACCCTTTTTCGTTTAAGGTGATGAAAGAGTGGTAGTAGAATTTTGACACAATCATATGAGTATCAATTAAATTTCACATAGACTTGCTTTCCCAAAAGTTGTTCTCGTCCAAACTGGACTGTAGTTTCGACCTCGCATCGGTCTTATCAAAACCCCCAGCAGGAGTCGAACCGTGACAGTGCAAAATGTGAGTTTAAGCAATGCTATTTGGTCACGGCAGCACTAGACATCCCAGATTTACATCTGAAAGTTAATTGCAGAGCATATCATATGTGTAAGTTGTTAACTAACATACTGAATCTTAGTATTAAAAGAGAAAATGCCGATTATCTTTTGACAGTGAGATCGTTTTGGTCATAAAAGTTTGAACAACCGAAATGCAGGTCCGTGAAATTGGAAAAGGATTCTTCTCAAAATTAGCTGAATATATATAGAAAACTTAACTTGTTTTGGAAGGCCATACAATCTTAGCCTTTGCT